GGGCCGTCCTGCAGGCCTCCGCTCGCTGTGCCCGTCCATTGGGCGGCCTGCCCACCTCCCCTTGCTGTGACACTCCCGTGGGCGGCCTGCCCACCTCCCTGCACTTCTGCTGCAGGTCCCCTCTCTTCCCCTGGAAGTCGCAGGTTCCCTCTCTCACCTCCTGCCCCTGCACAGGTGGTCCCTTCTACCTCTGAGCATCTCCTGAGCTCCAATCAGCAGCCTAAGGAGGTCCTGAGGCCCCTAGGTGCGGAGGGCCCCACAGGGAACAGCACCACCTGCCGGCTCAATAAACTAATTCTTAAAAAAAAAATAAAAAGGCGCAGGGTGAAAGCGGTGAAGCTCGGCCAGGGTGGGTGCCAGGCTAGGGCCAGTGGCAAGGTGCCCTCCCTGCAGAGGCTGAATGTGGGCACACACCCTGGGTGTCCGGGTGACGTTCTGGGCAAGAGCACCCGCTTGTGGGCCCACACTGCTCTGTCCCTCCCTCTCATCCCCAGGACAGCTGGGGCAAGCCACTCTGCGCTCAGGGACGTGACGAGCACGTGTAGCAGCGTGCAGCAGTGTGGGACAGCACAGCCCCACGGGTGTGTGTCCCGACCCCGCTCTAACACCTGCAGGTCTCAGGGCTTCCTCTGTGAACAGCTCTCAGGTCTAGCAGCTCTCTGGGCACGCAGAGTGCAGTCCAGGCAAGACACTGAGGCAGGCGCCACCTCCCTGAGCAGGGCAGGGCCACGGACACGACGCGGCAAGGCCTCCTGCGGGGACAGACAGGTGCAGAGCCTCTGAGGGGCAGAGGCCACTGAGGAGGAACAGAGGACAAACGACCCGCAGTGCTCACTGGGAGGTGAGCGGCCTGTGAACGCACTCCGTGAGCAGCAGCCTCCCTCCCGCAGCCACACTGGGACGAAGTCTGGTTTTCCTGTCCCCGAGGCTGGGAAAAACACCAACCAGGTGGGAAGCTCAAAGGCGGCTCAAAGCACAAGCGCGGAGGGCGGGTCTGAGGGCCTCTCCTGCCAGGACCGCTCACCTGCGCATCAGGGCGCGGGGTGCAAGGTGTGGCCGCTCAGAGTGACCGAGAGGCCCTGCTTACGACACGCGCGACGCTAAGCGATGGGACCGTCTTTCCC